AAGGTGGGAGGAAGGAAGGCTGAAGAGGAGGAAGAAGAGAGAGAGGCAACGCAGCATGGTTGGAGGCCGCTAAGCCCCAGATGCCTGCATATAGCAGTGACTTCCCGACAGGCTAACAACCCCTAATCTCATTCCATCGGGCCTCTCAGGTGTCATCCAGGAGGAAAACAGCACCCTCTCAAATGTCAGGGCAGCTGGGGTGCACAGGACCTCTAGGGGCCAAGAGAGGGACAATGAGGACCTTGAAGGACCAGAAGGATCATGGAGCCCATGGTCCTCAGCCCATCTCTTCACTGTGGACCAACCCTGCTCTAGGTGCTGGTTGTTCTGCAGCCTCTCAGAGTTCAGATTTCAGAGTAAAAAACAGGCAACATATAACAGATCTGTTTCCGTGTAGTATGTACAGTATGACAGTGACAAGAGCTATCTGGAAAAATAAAGCTAGTAAGAGTGACACAGTGGGGAGTGGCCTCTCTACAGAGATGTTGAACTAGGTCTGGGACGAGGATGTCAGAGGTTTTCCTGGAGAAACCCTTCAGGAGAAGGCTCCAGGAGGGACCACTTTTCTGACACTGGTAGGGAGAGGAAGAGAAACGCATGCATTCTTCAGTGTGGAAGAGAGGAAAGAAACCCAGTATTTCTCATTCACTACTGCGGTCTGGCATTCTGTCAGCGCAGTTCTCCTTTAACGCTGACAACACCCTGTGAGATAGAAAGTCTTATCTCCACTTCCCAACTAAGGAGAGCAAGCTCCCAGGAGACAGGTTGCCACCAGCGGTGTCCCCATTCTTTCTGCTGCTCACTCCCTTCCAAAGGACTAGGATCCCAAATCGTTTTCCAAAATTCTCTGGGGCCCAGGGGAAGACAGGAGGAACAGCTATTACAGGAGAAAACTCAAGGATCATGGGGTCCTGATGGGTCAGGACAGGAAAGACTGGGGACCACACCCACTATTCACAGCCTCCAGCATCTTGGTGGAAGGCAGAAGCTGTCAAAGCTCCCACCGAGGGTCATCCGCAGGGTCTCTGCCCAGTGGTGTCCAAGAGTGCAAGGGGCCTGCGTCACCTCTCCAGTCTGCTCCTGTCTCTAAGGCCTTTCGGCCCTCCAGGGGAACGACCTGGGTGGGGAGCACAAGGGAGCCGGAAGCCACACACACTTTATCCCCAACTAAGCTCCGGGACTGCAGAATAGATTAAGGGCGTTCACGCACGAGGACGCCTACTTAACCAGGATCCCCAAAGATCCCGGCTGCTGACCACCACTTCCAGCGGGCGAGCGGCCAGGCGGGGCGGGGTCACCTCTGTCGTTTGCTGACTTCCCATCTTATTATCAGCGCCGCCGCTAGGGGGCGCGCCGGGGAAAGGCTGCAAACTTTATGCAAACATAAAGGCTGCGCTCCTTTATGTGCTGCCCTGATGTTTGTTGCCCACCTACTCCATGCTTACCCGGTGCAGGCCATGGGCTTCCTACACTTCTAGGGCTCTGCCTGTAAACGGGCCAGGCAGAAACGAAATTTTGTTCAATTAATTTCTGTGCCCATGCTATGATCTTTCTGCTTCCAACCTGCTCTCCGTTGTCCAGCCGCTCAGCTTCCATCGACCTTGGTTTAAAATAGTTCTGGGGCTCTAGCTATAGCTTTCAGAAGAAAGTTAAAAGCCCCTCTTTCTGGGTCTACAGCCTTGGAGCCTCCTATGCGCCCTCTTCGCGCGTGTAGTCCCCTCGGAGAGTCCTCGCTTTAGGCCTCCGCACTTGCGGTTTCCTCGCCCACCTGTCCTCCCCCCTTCGCCCTCCCTAGGCTGGTCTGGCTCTGGCTCCGGCCTCCCGCAGCCCCCGGGGATATTCCAAGCAAAAATGTCAGTGCCTGGATGGGAGATTTCCTCCTCCCTCCCTGTCGACAGACGACAGACCGGTAGCCCCATGAGGGCGGGCGGGGGGCCTGGCCGTCGTATTCTTTGTCTTGGAGGTGCCTTGGCAGGGGGTCTGGGGGAGCCCCTCGCTGAATACACAGCAGCGGACAGTGTGCCCCTGCGAAGCGCACATCAAAAGGAGCCTCTGAGTAGCTATAGAGGTGGGGGTGAGTTTAGGATGGGATGGGGTCCCTGTCCCTGGTCCGAGGTCCCCGTCATTCACACAACACAAAGTGCTTCTCTTGTGCCATCCTTTTGCTTCAAGTTCCTGGTGCTGTCTGCCTTGTCCGCCCTCATTCAAGAGACCACCCTCCCATTCAGGGCGGAGACCTCTTGGTCCCCTGTGAGGACGCCTCCATCCTACTCACCCTAACTGACTTTGGAATTATTTTAACCCCTTCCCCGCCAAGTTCAGCCTATCCCAGGTTTGGGGTGCCTGTTAGAGAAAGGGTGTTTCTGTGATGGTGGTGAGGGGCTGCCCTCCCTGCCTAGGCAAGACAGCATCTATTCCTCTGTTCCCACCGTCAGCAGTTCAGGGTGGGCAAGAGAAGGAAATTAAGCTTGTGTTGAAGGAAGGACACCTGGCAAGGGTGAGGAAAGGGCCCAGGAATCCCCTCTTCTGGGGAACTTTCAAGTGGGGGAAAGTCCCCACACAGGCCTCCATTCTCCAGGGCACCTTGCCCCCAGTGGGGCCTCTCTCAGGTTCTAGTCCCTCCTCCTTTACTTCCCCCAGGTTTGTAGCCAGCTGGCTCTTGGATTCCACCCTTCTCTCTACTTGTTTCCTGCCACTGAAGATCCGCCTAGGGCAGCCCCGGCTCCAGGCTGCCTGGAGGAGGCACCTGGGATACACGTGGCCCTTCAGGGAATGACCAGTTTTGCCTAAACCAGCCAGAAGCCCTTGCTGGACATGTCTCAGCCAACCCATATCCCACCCAAAGCCACTGGGATCTTCCCCCCATCCACTTCCTAGGACTGGTACTTGTGATGGTTTGTGGCCTGCCCATTCCTCCCCACCACGCTTAATCTACAGTCATGTCTTGGTGGCCAGGGAAGATAACCTTCCCAGCTTTCAGAAAGACCAGAATGGAGCTCTGGAGCTCTGCCATGATGGTGCAAGCAATTCTGGCCAGAAACCCACCTGGGAGTCCCCACGGCACTCCTCACTGGCAGGGCCTGAGCCACGAGAGGGGTGTGGAAGCTCTCTACCCTTACAGCCTTGGTCCTGGGGCTCTGCATTCCCAGGGGACCTCAGAACTAGCCCAGCCCCTAAGGGCATCTCTGGGGATGCCCACCACTTGCCACCTCCACCAGATCCATGGCTATTTAGCAGGTTGGGATTTCTCTTTGCCTTACTGATCCTTGGCCCTCTCTGCCTCTCCCTTTCCCCTTTATTCCCTTTCTTCCTCTCCCTGGTAGCTCAACTTCAGCTCCCCCCACCCCACCCCCTTTCTGTCTCTCTGTCTCTCTGCACTCAGTCTCTCTGGATCTCCCCTCCCCTCTTTCATCTCTCCCCCCCACCATCCCCTTCAGTCGAGCACAGGGCCAGGAACGCGGCAGAAGCAGTGACAAGCCCAGGCGGCTCTCCCGACCCTTGGTGCCCCCAGGGGCCAGTTCCTTACTCTCCCTGCACAGGCAGCAGTTAAGTGCGAAGAGTGGACGGGCAGGGGCAGAGGATTCAAGCTGTGGGCACCGGCAACCTGATCAAAGGCCGAGAATGTCTGGCCCCCTGGTGTGGGACTTCCTCTAGCCATGCCCCCCACCTAGCTTGTCAGAGAGCCCAACATTCTAGGCTGGCAGGATTCAAGAAAAGTAGCTCCTTCTCTGTCCCTTCAGCCAGGATGCAGTTCCCTGAACTTGACTTCCTTTCCTCCCCTTTGCTTTCAGGACCCCTGGCCAGGACTGCTCCAGGAGAGTTTGGATGCCTAGGGTGGCCTGGGAGAGGGGTTGAGGGCAGGCACCCAAGTGACAGAGAGTGAGCCCCTAAAATCTAGCCAGAATCTCAGCAGCACTCAGGGTTCTGGAGAGGGAGAGGAAAGAAAGAAACCCAATGTGGGGGGAGGGTCCCCCTCCATGGGGAGGGTGAGTGTTTGAATGAATGTGTGTCCAGAGAGGAGAAAGCTTAGTCGCCAACCCTAGGTCCTCACTCGCCACAGAACGGGCCAATGGCCAGAGTGGGAGAGTTGGGCAGTAAAAGGGGGTCCTGGAAGCCCTCAGCCGTTCTGGGCTAAGGCTGCTACGTTTCACGAGTACCAAAAGGTTCTGACCCCAACATCCAAAGAGGGCTACGATTTGTGCTTCTGAAGTCGGGCTTGAACGCCTGGAGGAGGAGAAAGTGACCCGAGTCCACCAGCAGGAAATGCAACTGGCCGCTGGTGTCAGTTGCAGGAAATGCAAAGGCAGCAGGAGGTCCCGATACCAATCTGATCCTTGACAAAAGACTCAAATGACACTCGGCTCTGTCCCCCGGCGCCGCCCGCAGCCAGACCTTCGAGCCTCCGCGGACTCTCGCGCGCGCCCCTCGGACACCGGGAAAGCGACCTTCTGCGACCGGGTCGCGGAGCCGCCAGCTCGCGGGCTCGAGAGGCTGGCTTCTGGGAGGGGTTGCACTGCCTAAAGCCCAGGTCCCGAACGCCCAGTAGGGCTTCTGGAAATATCCCTGTGATTCCTAGTCTTGATTCCTCACGGACCCAAGTCCCAAGGGATCACGGCCCCCCGACGGAAAGGGAAGCCACCCATTAATGCCCACTCCAACCAGTCACCACGTGAACGCCGGGTCAAAGCCTCAGCTCCCTAAACCTGGCGGGTTGGGGGGGGCCGCGGCCATCCCGGGCCAGCAGAGAGTCCCGCGTGCCTTGTGCCCCCCAGGGCCCCAGTATGTCCGGAGCTTGGGTTTTGCCCAAGTTTGCTGGGCGATGCCCTTCCCGGAGCCGGAGTTGTGGGCCGGGCGGGAGGGGCGCGTGATTGACAGGCTGAACTACAGACTCATCTCTTACCTTAGGCCGCGGGCGCTGATTGGCTGCTCGCTGACATCTTCAAACCCGGCTGCTCCGCGCTGGGCTCGGGAGGGGGGCGGCTGCGGGTGGAGGTGCGCTTCTGACAAGCCCGAAAGTCATTTCCAACCTCAAGTGGACTTTGTTCCAACTATTGGGGGCGTCGCTCCCCCTCTTCATGGTCGCGGGCAAACTTCCACCTCGGCGCTGCTTCTAATGGAGCCCCACCTGCTCGGGTTGCTCGTCGGCCTCCTGCTCGGTGGCACCAGGGTCCTCGCCGGCTACCCAATTTGGTGGTAAGACTCGCCTCTTGTCTGCCCGCGGCCCGATCTCTCCGCCGCGCCCCGGGGAGGTGGGGGACGCTGACTGGGGGTGGGCTGCGACAGAGCTGGGGTTCCTTTCTCCTTGCCTCTCTCCAGCCCCCCAGCCGCCCACCTCTCCTGGATTTTCTGCTGGTGTCGCCTTCAGAATCCAACTCCTGGTTTCTCTGATAATCACCATTTTCCCTGCTCCCCGGCCGCAGAGGCTGGAGGACTTTCTTCCTCTCTGAAGGTCTCTCATTTTTTGATCCTCACCCTCCACCCATCCCAATCTGGGGATCCCGGAAGACCCTCCATTTGCTTGTAGTTGGGTTTTTGGAAATCCAGCGCTGTCCCTGGGGCCCGGCCACTCCTCTTCTCCATTTTGGGGTCTTCATGGACAAAATCATCCTGTCCTTCATTGCCTCCTCACCTCCGCGGCGCCTCGGTCAAGAGATTTCCCCACAATACCCCCCATTTACCTTCATATTTCAGACCCCAAAGGATTTAGGGATCCCTGGGGTAGGAGGAGGGGGTGTAGGAATTTCATCAGATTCTCCCACTTTGCTTTAGATTAATTTTGAGCCTCTGAAGTGAATATGGAATTTGCTGATCCGAGATGCCATTGAATTCGGTTGTATTCATTCCTTGCTTGTCCATGCTGGCAAAGGGGGGGTGCTCTTTGAAAATGTAGTTGTTTGGGAGGGGTAGGCTTGTTGTTCTTTGACCAAAAACCCAATTTTCCATGTCACATTCGTTGCTTTTGGAAAACCGAAGACCGAGGAGAAAGGGAGAGGGAAAGGCAAATTCTGTCCCTGAGAAATACGGATACAAAAGACATTTTAGTAAATAGGGTTAGAAAACCAGGCTCTGTGTTTGGGGGGCTGTGTATATGCAGGCTCTGTGCTTGGGGGGACTGACTGGGGGATAAACAGCCCTTTGGGAGCCCCAGCTCAGGGAGTCCCCTTGTTTTCCAAGCGGCCCCATCAGAGCTGCCCCCTCCGCAGGTCCCAGGGGCCAGCGAAGAAGACTCTGAAACCAGTTCTCTCAATTACACCCCGCCTCTCCCCAGCTTCCAGGCCCCTGCATTCCGGAAAACTTTAATTAAAGCATCTTCCCCTTCTGGACTTAGGAGAGCCTGGGCCTCAGGGTGGGAGATGAGGAGGAATTTGGGACCCGTGAGTATGAAGGGGACTGTGGCCCCTGAGGTGAAAGTCAGAAGTGCCGCTAGGGTGCAGTACTGACTGCAGCCCCCCACTCTCTGCTAGCTGGATCTTGGGATGGGGGGACAGAACAGGTGATATTTGGAGACCACACCCTGAGTTTTCCTCCAGTTGCTTAGGGTGGTAGTGTTTGCCCCTGGGTATTTGGGGGCTCCCGTGAGAAAGGGAGGGGCAGACATGGCCAGGGGTCTCTGTTGAGAGGAGTTGTTCCCTGGACTGACACCAAGGAGCAGTCTTTTTTCTGCCCCACCTGTCCTTCCCTGTGGCCTTGGACTGGCCTGAGGCCTCCTGAGCATAAAAAAGCCCACAGGGAGGTGGGGACAGCCAGGGACTACAGGGTGGGGTTCTGCTAGTGGGGAGGGATGGGAGGAGGTTGCCTTGCCCGCCATTCCTGACCCTCTTTCCATCCCCATGCCAAGGCCATGCCAGTCTTTGCCTTCTCAGGACCCTTGTGGGTAGGAGGGTAAGAAGAGAAGGCTTGTAGTCCTAGATGTGGCAGGGAGGAAGGAAGAGAGAGCAGGTTCCCCGGTCCTACGCATGAGGCAGGGCGCTTCCTGGGGCAGTGTCAGTGGGCAGTTGGTGGCAGCAGTGGGGTCTGTATGGTTCCAAGAGAGCATGTAGATAGGGTCCTGCCAATAGGAAGAAACAGGAAAACCTGGACGGCTGAGACATCAGCAACGTAAGGTTAGTCATATGTTTAGGGATTGATGGGAACAGGGATGCTGCTTTGTCTGAGCAGAGGAGAGGTATGTGTGTGTGTGAGAGAGAGAGACAGAGAGACAGAGAGAGAGATGATGACAGGCCGAAGTATACCTATGTGCCTGTCAATGCCTGTGACTGCGTGTGTGCGTGTGCGTGAGTGCGTGTGCGTGAGTGTGAGTGTGTGAGAGATTCTGGGTGTATGACCCTAAGTGCTGCGTCTGATCACTAGTGTGCCTCTGTATGTAGGATATTCGTGTCTAAGACTGGACAACTGTGCATGGCAAGTGTGCAGGTGTGCCTGGGGAATCTACGGCCCATGGTGGGGTGTGCTGTGTCTCTGCATACAGTGTCAGCAAGTGACTGATTCTGTGACGTGTAGGTATGTGAGACCAGAAGTCTAGAAGTATCTTTGTTCATGTAAAGGTGAGTGCCGGTTTCTGCGTGTGCTGTTTGAGAATGGGTATGTGAGTGTGGCATGTCTGTGTGTGTGCGCACCAGTGCACACGGGTGTACCTTTCATGACAGTATAAGGGGAAAGTCCCACAGATGTCTTTGTGCATAACATCAGCGATCATGTCTGTGACCTGAGAGCGAGCCTCATATCCTGACCTGGGTGAGGGCTGTGTCTAGGTCTGCTTTTGACCTTATCCTCAAGTGCCAGGGACATTGCCGGGCTTATGACTGTGTGCATGTGGACATGTCTGCAGATGCCTGACCCATGGATGTGAAGGACAGTTGAGCTGGGGTGCTTGGATGCTGAGGCCCTGGAGGGAAGGTCTCACAAGGTGACTGCAGGGCATAGCTGACCTGGGATCCCCAGCTGGGGCCCAGGCAGGGCCTTCCTTGGCACTGGGTTGCCCTTCCTGCCTGAAGACTGATCACGGCCCTCCCTCCTCTCTGAGGTCGTTTTTCTTTGCTTTTGGAGCTGAGGTGGAGGTGAGTCGCCTTCTCAGAGCTGGGACTGGAGAGTGGATGGGCCTCAGATTCCTGATCCACTCTGCCCCCAGGCAGGCAGATTCCAGGCCTTTTAGCATCTGAGCCCATCACAACCTGCCCTCCTTAGTCCACCCAGCACACACATTCCCCAGGAGGGGTTTACAGGGAAAATCGCTTAACTGGGATTTCTGACCATACCACCTCAAGGAAGGCACCCCCACCCCCAGTAGCCTGCCCTCTTCAGGCACCAGCACTGAGAGAAGGTAGACCAGAAGGGAGCCTCAGACTGATGCCTGAAAGGAAGAAATGTGCTTCAGGGCCTCCCATCCAGGGAGTAGCAGCACTGGGACAGGAAGCAATAACAGCAGTCCTGATTTCTGGAACTCTCCGTGTCAGTCCCAGTTAGCACCTGGTGTAAAAATTTATCTTTCTTCTTCTTGGGGGAAAAGGATCCTATCTCATAGCCCTGAGTCTGCTGATTTCTGGAGCAGGGTGCCCTGATGAAAGGGCCTTGGGTTGGGTGGGGGTAGGTAACTCACCCTGAACTGTGTAACTGAGGACCACTGACCCTCCCTCTGGGCCAGGTGGATATTTGAGTTTTCATTCTACCACCCTAGGACCCATCCCCCACTCAAGTTCCTGCCCGCAGTCCTGCCTCAGTTTCCCCGTGTGTCAGATGTCCTGTTGCCTCCCACCCCCACCTCCACCCCCACCTGCCTCTTAGAGGCTTGTGAACATGTTCAGTCAAACCCCGTGGGGGTCAGTAGGCTGGGCCCAGGGAGGCACCTGGAGGCTGCGGGGGAGGAAGGCCCCAGGCCAGGTGTTAACACTTGTAACAGGCAGGAATTACAGCTGGCTGGGGCTGGGGCTGGGGCTGGGGCTGGGGCAGGGGCTGGTGAGGAGCTGAGCTGGCTGGAGGCTGTTGATCCCACAGACAGACAGACAGACAGATGGGCAGATACCAGATCGGATGGCCAAGCTTTAGCAGGGTGGTCTCCCTTCCAGAGCAGACCTTGCCCTGGGGGATGAGATGGGGAAATAGATGCAGCTCTCTTAGCAGTGAGTTCATTGCCCTCCTGCCCACCCCACCCCACCTCTATTGTGGGTGAGGCTTTGGAGTCCAAAAGGAGCAAAATTGGCTGATCTGTTGGTATTATTCTGATGGGATCACATTTTTTGCTTTAAAAAAATAAAAAAGTCAAACATTATAATACCGGGAACTATGTCCTTGAAGACCTGTTCTATTGTGGGAAGAGTAAGGCATGGGGAAGTTACAGCAGTCAGGGAAAGTTCCCCTGGAATCTCAGAGCATTTTATCAATAACTTTGAGGCCAAGAGGTGAACACCAGGTGGAATTTGGACCCTCATCCCTGAGCATCACCCCCACCTCCATCCCAGGTATCCTGAGAGCCTGGGGTCTGGGATGTCTGCCCTGCAATTAACCCTGCCCTGTGGGAGGACCTTTGGTGGGGCCGACAGAGGAGGCAGGAGCTGGACTTGGGAGCCAGCAAGACCTTAAGCAGGTACTTGTCGCAGCTGCCCCAGTACAAACCCAGCCAGAGCCCACCAGAGCCCAAACTGTCTTGTATCTGGGTGCCTGCTCTGTCACTAATGAAAGAGGGGGACACTGAGGCAGGCAGGCAGAGAGCCCTAGGTAAAAATCCCAATGAACAGACTTGGCCAAGCCAGCCTGTCCCACCCCACTCACTACAGAACTTAATACTATCAGATGTTCAAAGTACTTGACACCCTGGCATAGAAATGGGGTGGGGGCAGAAGCCAGGAGTCTGGGGTTTTCTCCTTAGTCTGACAGGAATCGAGGAGTTCTGGCAGGGAAGGTGGCTTTTCTTGGAGAAGAAGGCAACTCCCACCCTGAAAGGGTGGACTGCTGAGCCACAGAGGTGGTGAGCCAGGGTTGAGGACATTTTCCACCATCCTGATATGAGCCAGGATCCCCTCCCAGAGCTGCCGAGAAGGAAAGGACCTTCTTCACCCCTAGCTGAGTAGAGAGAGATGCGTCTAACACCCTGCTTCAAGGCTGGGCCACCCTGATACTGAATCTGAATATTCATGCACCTGTGTGCTGGAAATGGTTCACACTGGAAGGAGCGAGACCTGGCTATGTGACCCTAACAT